TATTTTTATGCTAAAAAAAAAAACATAAAATAATTATTTATGTTTATTTTTGTGTGTAACTTAACTTAAGTTGAGATGACTGGTTTTATGGTGTCAGGTTGCTATAACTCTCAAACATTCCTTTAGATCATGTCTTGCAAATTTATCATTTTGTGTAAATCAAAGAATACAACTAAGTTACAGCATCTTTTTGTTAAAGCATGTTTTCTCTCCCTTGAAAAGAATGGACTGGACTGAGGAGAACCATCAACTATTCCATTGCACATTATTCACTTGTTAATAAAATATTGCTGAATAGTTTGTTTTATTCAAATATATATAAATGTTATTTTTAGTTGAAAGCTTTACCACTGAATTCTCAAAATAACTACAGTGGTTTCTTTACTATATTGTTTTCCCTTGGTGCCTTTTTAAAAAAATATATTTCTGTTACATTTCTCTAAATAAATGTCTTTGTAACTTTTTTTATTGACTTTTTTTTTTATCTAAGAGTTTTACTTGATGAAAGTTATGTTACTACCTTAGAAATCTGAGTAAACAGGAACTGTTATTCAAAATCAGTTTTATCTAGTCTTTTTTTTTTAAAGCTAAATAAATTTATATCATTATAACAATCTTAACCTTTATACACATTCAAATATCTCAGAACATCATTTTTCTAAATTTCTTATACTGGTAGTTAATTTTTTTTTCTTGTCTGAGTGATTCTTAATTGTCTGACAAAACTATTTTGTGACAAGATAGTGTAATGGAATTCTATGTAATGTTCAAGCAGTTGCTACAAATCATTGATTCTTATGCTTTAAAAAAAAAAACATTAAAATTTCTATGTTTGATTAATCAAATTCTATTTGGTTTGTTACATACAAATATATCAGTAACTGTTGACATGCATCTTGTTTAGTAAATGTGTATATACACTGTACATATCACAGGTTTTATTGCCATTTTGTGTATTAGCTGATATTGACTGAGTGCCATCATATGTACTTAGAGATTGTTCCAGTTTTAATAGCTTTGTTTATTCCCTTTCATTGACTTGATATACTTACTGCCATGGTTAGAAGTTCAATAGAATTTTTTTATTTATTTATTTATTGGCTGTCAGTTTCACTTTTTAAAAAAAATGACTGCTTCATACATTGATCAAGTTCTCTTCCTTAATAAAAGTGATTAACTTTTAGTGTAAAGATCAAATTATATACTGAAAACAATTAAGTTTTAATATAATATTGTGATCAAATTTGAATATGATAAATGATTTTTTTTTACTATTTGGCCCCTCAGATATTATAAACTGAATCTTTACTACTTATACTAAATATTTGTTTTAAAGGGGAATTTAAATTCCCAATATTCTTGTTATTGTTTTCTATTATTATTTGTATGTATATTATTTATTTTTCTGCTAATTTATTATTTCATTCTATTGAGACATTCTTCCAGAAGCCAAACAAAAAAATGCTGCATTCCCAAAGAATTGAGTTGCTTTTTATTTTCTTCCTAAACTAAATACAAAACTTTTGAAAGTATGTTTTAACTAAGGAAAAAGATGTTTGTCCTTGTTTTCTTTGCTATTTGAATTCCTTAGGAGTCTCAACTGCACTCAGGCAAAAGAAGTTTTTTTGTCTCTCAATGACTGCACGCTCTTCTTGGTTTGAAAATACTTTTTTGCACTTTCATGTTATATAAATGTGGCGTAAAAAAAAAGGAAAACAAAATATAGTTTTATTATCTAAGCCTTTGGCACCTCCTACTTGAGAACCCTTGATTCCCAACTATTAAGAAATAAGATTAATTGCTGGCACTGTCATAATTGATTATATTTGATTTGTAGTCACTATTTGTTAGGTCTGTAGCCTTGTATAACTGAAAGTATATAGTTTGGAAAATACTGTTCTTGTATCATGTTTTGACATAACAAAAAACATAACATGTACTTCTGTTTGGTACTATAAGGATATTTTCTTTTACTAAACAAATATCTTGTATCCATTTTTCAGCTTTATATAGTTTTAATAAATATTTTTACAAAGCTTATATCAACTCGCTCTGTCTTTCTGTCTGGTACCACTTTCCAACTGGTCCAGACAAGTGATAGGATTATAGTGATTTGAGAAAGCTAAAAGCATGAAATAGTGCTAAACAAAATATTTCTAATTGCACAGATTTATTATTGTTAGTCTAGATCTATTACAAATTAAATTACATGACTGATCCAAACTAATTGATATAACTACACTTATATATGTTGTTGTTGTTTTTTTTTTATTATACACCATGCTTAATTAAATGATTCTTTTTTCCAGATATAAAAAGTACATTTATGAATGTCAAAAATAAATTTTTATTAAAGTTGAAAATGTGTCTAAGTCACCTCTTCTATTACTATTTTATATCTCATTACTTAATCATAATGCAGTCATTTGTTTTCTATGCTCTTATTATTAATCCAAACAGAAATACATGTGATGCTATTTTTTGTTTTATTTGTTTACAAAAGGAAATAGAAAATCTTGTGTGAATGCAAACAGTGAGGACATGTGTCATTGTACTTCACTGTATGACTGCAATGTGTCTTTGTTCTTCACTTTCTGTTTGGAAGACTATCATGTTACATTGTCTTTCTCTTTAGGACTATGAGAATGTAATGATTTCATTTAATGTACTTCGCTTTAACTAGTTTGTGGATGTGTGTTGAAAAACTTTTTGTACATTCCAATTATTATATACAAAGACAAAGTTGTATGTGTGCTGTAGTTTATCAACATTAGAAGCATCAACTGATCATGAGTTCCTAAATTTGCTGTTCCATTTTTAGCACATATTGTAGTATAATTTCCTTTCATGATTATTTATATTATTATATTTTTTTGCTGTCCTGATGATACTTCAGGTCAAGGTGTTTCATTTCTATGGTTCACAACCTGTGTGCAGGGTGTGCTTCAGTCACAATTCTACTAATCAGATTCTTTAGAACTGAATTAGCTTGGTAACTACTATATTAGGATCCAGGGGGCACCTTTTAAGTATGGCTGATAAACTCAGATTTTTTTTATACAAGATGAAATGTATGAGAGAATATTGGCCTTATTTTGGGCTAAGACATTTTTAAAAATTGTAAATAATATTTTTCATTAGAACCTTTTTTTTTTTCTGTTTTTCTTCCTTCCTGCAGTTGCTGGTGATAAGTGTGCTTATATTTTTACAAAGCAAAGGTTTGGAAGCATAAAAGAGTTTCATGTCTCCTCCATGTGATTATATTTGTTCTCCATTAAAACATTTAATGTTGAAATTACTTGTCTTATAAACATTCATTGACTACTCCAGTGGCCTTCTTAGTGTTGCAAATATTCTAATGAGACTTTATTATTTCTTTTTCTATCATTCCTTTTGTTTTTTTAACAGACAGTATTGTTTAACTCATAATTCATAACTTTATTATCAATACATTGCAATGTATTTTGCTGTTTCTTTCTTTTTACATCAATCTTAATTTAAAAGTGAAGTAATCTGCTATTGAAATACATGATAATACAGGATTTCTTTTTAAAGTTTTATCTTCATTATGTTTTTCTTTTAGAAAATTTAGAGTAAGTTTTTTTTCTCTAATATTTATATACTTCTTTAATTTTCCTTGAATATATTTGTTGACAAATAGCTTAAAGATTTAAAAATCTGCCAAATGGATTAATGGGAAGGACAAAAAAGACAGTTTTGTTTTTTTCTTGTTTGTATCTGATGTGATATCAATGAGACAGAAACATTCCTCGGAGAGTGTGAATGAATCTTTTTAAGCAGCACTTTTTTTTTAGAAGAGTTCTTTGATGCTGGTCTTGTTGTTGGGCTTGTTGTTTTTGAAACTTCTGAGTTGTTCTTTGACTAAGTCTTTCGCTCTGATACTTTCTTAATGAAAATGTTTGATGGTTGTACTCTTATCACTACAATCAGATTGTGATTTTTTAGTGCATGCCTAACATAGCAGTCTAGAACTTTCTATTAAATTTGTACTTTTTTGCTTCTTTGTCGAGTGGTTAACAATGTGGACAGCACAACATGAAAATACTTTCTCTTTTCCCAAAGCATGTCAGGTACCCTCTATAGCTTGGTAACTTTAGGAGCATTCTATCCTTAGTAATCACAACTAAGATTTGAACTTAGTACAAATTAACATTGCTGGCAAAGTGTTTACCAATCGAATAATATTTTTAAAAAAATTAAGCATCTCTGGTTGAATACATTAGAATAGAAAACAGATGAATGGATTATTTAAATTAGAATAGAAAATAGATGAATAAATTATTGGCAACAGCTTATAGTGTTCACTTATTCAAGAGTTATGAATGTTATTGCTATTGTAAGTACTTTTTTTTACTTCATTATTGAGGGGAAGGGTATTATAAAGCTTATATCAACTTACTCTGTCTTGTAAAAATTTGTACCCATTTCTCCCACACCTATAGTCAGATCAAGTTGAAACTTTGAACAATTATTTATTGTACCTAACAAAACATGACTCAATTAAAAAATTAACCAGTTAGTCAATTAATTATTGGTAATTAATGATTTTGTTTCATATTGAATAAGGCAAATAACTTCTACATGATTGAGATATATAGTTTTAGGTGTATCTTTCCTTAGATAAGCTTTGTTGTTTCTTTTTTTTTTTTTTTTTTTAAGATTTTGCTTGTTTTGTTGTATAATGTTGAAGCCTAATAATTTTTATTGAATAAAGTTACAGGAAAAAAAAGGATTAACATTTCTAAAAATCTTTTAACACTACAATCAACCTAACATGCCATTCATGACTCCATTTTATTCAAAGAAAGTACCCCATGACCCCCAATACATATTTTGACATTGATTGTGGAGACCCTTTACAACCCCATGGAGGGAGAGGTCATAAGCCATTAAGTAACTCCTGTTTAGACAAGATATCTCTACTAACAATCTCGCTCTATTTTTTTAAATACTTATAGATCTTTTTTTTTTCTCCATTTTCTGACATTATCTACTTTTGATTATTTATCTCTGTGCTGTTACCCCATACTTGCAAGCCTTGACTCTTGAACTATCAGGTTGTTGTTTTTTTTTACCACGAATACAGAAAAAAATCAACTCAAAATGTTTTATTTAACCCATTGCACCTGCCAACTTACATTAGTGAAGTCTTGTGAATCACTTGACTATATAAAAGGAATAGATTTACTGCTTTCTGACCACAGAATGGATTCAAATGGCAGAGCAAACACTTTTTATGTTTATTTGTTACTCAATTGTATTTGTCTTTCTTACACTTACCTAATGCTGAATAATATTTCAAGTTTGTTTCTTTTTATTTAACAGCGATTCTATAAAAACTGTAGTCTAAATTACTATTTGTGATTTTTTAATGTCATGTTGACAATAAAAAGGTATTTTTACTAATAGATGACATTTCCTTGTGTTGTTAAAAACATGTTCAGTAGTTAGCCTTCCTCAAATATACCTCACACTTTCACACCTGGATTGCCTTGCTGACCTCAGTCACCTTCACACCACAATCACCTTGCTGACCTCAGTCACCTTCACACCACAATCACCTTGCTGACCTCAGTCACTTTCACACCACAATCACCTTGCTGACCTCAGTCACCTTCACACCACAATCACCAAGCTGACCTCAGTCACCTTCACACCACAATCACCTTGCTGACCTCAGTCACATTCACACCACAATCACCTTGCTGACCTCAGTCACCTTCACACCACAATCACCTTGCTGACCTCAGTCACCTTCACACCCCAATCACCTTGCTGACCTCAGTCACCTTCACACCACAATCACCTTGATGACCTCAGTCACCTTCACACCACAATCACCTTGCTGACCTCAGTCACCTTCACACCACAATCACCTTGATGACCTCAGTCACCTTCACACCACAATCACCTTGCTGACCTCAGTCACATTCACACCACAATCACCTTGCTGACCTCAGTCACCTTCACACCACAATCACCAAGCTGACCTCAGTCACATTCACACCACAATCACCTTGCTGACCTCAGTCACCTTCACACCACAATCATCAAGCTGACCTCAGTCACCTTCACACCACAATCACCAAGCTGACCTCAGTCACATTCACACCACAATCACCTTGCTGACCTCAGTCACATTCACACCACAATCACCTTGCTGACCTCAGTCACATTCACACCACAATCACCATGCTGACCTCAGTCACCTTCACGCCACAATCACCTTGCTGATCTCAGTCACCTTCACGCCACAATCACCTTGCTGACCTGAGTCACATTCAATCCTCAGTCACCTCACACCTCAGTCACATTCAGGCCTCAGTCACCTCACTCCTCAGTCACATTCAGGCTTCAGTCACCCTCAGACTTCAGTCACATTCAGGACTCAGTCACCTTAAACCTCAGTCACATTCAAATCTTGGTCTCATATTCAGACCAGAGTCATCCTTAGACCTCAGTCACATTCAGGTCTAAGTCAACTATCTTTTGTTCATGTTTTTGAATTCATTCAACAGTACATCACTTATTACATTATATATAAAAATCAGAAAGAAAGTATTAGGGTAATCCCCCAATCAAATTTTCTCTTTTGTGCACTGATGTTTTTGTGACCAAGTTATTTATAAAGTTTTAGTACTGGCCAGCAAGAATACTCTCTATAACAGATTTGATCTCAGGCCCGAAAATGCAGGTCAGGGTCAGTTCATAGGCATACTGTGGGGCGCCCCTCCCCATCTTACGGTGCTGACAAAGGGGGCAAAAAAAAATTTTTCAAGGACAAAAAAAATTTAATTTGCTCTGTAGTTATAATCCATATTTGTCTATTGATCTAGGTGTTATAATAAATGAAAAATGATGGAATCACCATATTGATGAAACTACAAAGCATTAGGGTTTATTAATTAAAAGAAATTTCTACAAATCAAATAAGAACATAAAACTAAAATGTTATTTAACCTTGTTTAGGCCAATAATTAAATATACATCCTCTGCTTGGGACCCTCAACTCAATGAGGAAACATTAAGAAACTAGAACAGACACAAAATAGAGCAGTGAGATTCATTACAAACAAATACATGTATTCACATTTTATAAGAGTAGCACCTTTAGTAAAATTACTAAATTTAGAAACCTTTTAGGATAGAAGACTTTAAAATAAGGTAGCAATTATACATAAAACACCAAACAGTAATGTTCTAATACAAAAACAAAACCTAATAAAATACTTAAACACATAGATAAAGGCACATTCCTTGTTCCATATGCTAGGACAGATTAGTACAAATACTTCTTCTTTCGACTAGTGCTATTAGAGCATGGAATGGGTTGCCTGAGTCAGCCAGGAAAACCAATGACTTGGCAGAATTTAATTCATTGTTACTTCAAAAGAGAAGATGATTACGTCCTATGCGTCCCTGCGTCAATCTAGTCGTACATGTTAATCAGTAGCTCTTATGAGTCATTGGTTTTCCTGGCTGATTCAGGCAACCCATCCCATGCTCTAATAGCACTAGCCGAAAGAAGGATCATTTGTAGGTTTATCCTAGCATATGGAATTTAAAAAAATGTTATCTTTGTTTCTTTTTCAGTCTTCTAAGTATTTCATTTGGTTTCGTTTTTTGTATTTGTAGATTAACATAATGGTTCAGTGTTTTATGTATTATTGCTAATTTACTTTTTATTCTTCTATCATGAAGGCTTAAGGTTATCTAAATTTAGTGACTTTACTAAAGCCAGTAAAGGTGTTACTCTAATTATCGGAGTCTATATTTATATATTAATTATAATTAATAGGTCTAGTTACTTAGTAGATCTATTCTAGATGTAGTACTAGTAGTAGTAGGCCTATCACTTATCACTAGAATCTATTGCTCACGGAATACGCATCCCTCTGTCCCTGCACTTTACATAAAGTGTCTACAAATATTAAGAATGTAAACATAGATGATTTGATCTAGACATTATCATAATTATGTAAGGAGGTCAAAGTTTACTTCGTTATTTTTTTACTCCGAAATTCGTGAATTCAACCAACCTTAACTTTCACCCTCCCCTCCCCCTTCCTAAAATATGTGTGAACGAAATCGTGCAGTGCGACTTCGTCACATCATCAGCACAGTTTGTTTGGTTTAAGGGGGAGGCACTCTCGTTTGAGAAGAAACCTAAACATGCTCACGTTATAGACAGAGTAGTTGCTAATGATTTAGTCAATATAGAGCAGAAAGAAGTAAAAATAGTTTAAAGTAGAGCAGTGGAAAAATTTTACATTAAAATAGAGGACACAATTTATAGACCTAGTAAATATAAGACTGCAGTGTTCTATTATAATTATTCCATATTTCCTATTCACTCACTGTGTAAGTGTGTTATTCAGCTTATTGAATCAAGTATCAATTGATTTTATCTATAATCTAGACTAGATCTACGACTACGTCCACCATCGTCTACGACAATCTTTGTAAGTTTGTTGAATCTACGTTCAGGTTACTGTTACTCTTACTAAGATCAGAAAGTGGAAAGATAGTAAAGCGTAATTTAAAATTAAGTACCGGTAAGTGAAAATGCATTTTTAGAAATTAGATCTAGATCAGTAGATTGAATTATTTGAAGAGATTATGATTATCTCAATATCTGATTTTGAATTATTTGAATAGATTAACTGATTATGATAATCTAGATTTATATCTATCTAGACCATGGGTTCTCAACCTGTGGGTCGTGACCCCTTTGGGGGTCAAATGACCAATTGCCAGGGGTCACCTGTGACCATCAGGAAATTGGGGGTGGCACAATTTTTTATCGGAAGTGGTTTTTTTTATTTTTGTTTCGCATGTGTTATAACAAGCATATTTTTACCATAATGGATATAGATTTATTAGTTATAGACCATGATTGGACATTACTCAGTCTCAGATAAAGTTATTACCAAACAAATTATGAAACGATCGTCAAGTTTCAATGAAAAAATAAAATAAATAGATAGTGGCAGTAACCAATATAAACAGACTTATTGCAAGACTTTTAGTGAATGTAACATCCTTGTTTGAAAGTAGATATGTTTTTTTAAATTGGTTCTTCTTTGGGTTTGTTTGTTTTTTTTAATTAATTTTCATTCAAAAATAAATGTTGCAGACCACATCTCCGTCGTTGCAGAATACATTTCTCAACAAATAAATGTACTGTCCATCAATGCATCGAAACACCATTGCGGGATCAAACATTTCTTTGGTGAAGATCTAATCACATCGTGAAGAAAATTCAATTATTAATGCACCATCGTAGTATAGTCAATGGAAATAAATTCATTATGGAACAACTCATGAACACGGACTTGAACTAAAGAAAGTTAATAAAAGAAAAGAGAATGACAGTATAGTTTAAGCAGCAATTCAGAAACCCCGATGCGACATTTATAATGATGTTTTCTTTGCCGCATGCATTGAGGCCAAACAAACGTCCGAACTTTGCTGATTACGACATCCAGTAGTTTAGTTTAGACTCAGATGGCAAGTACCATAATTAAAACATATCACCCTATGATTCTTCTTGTTTGTTGGCTCTCAGAATTGCCAGTGTTCTGAAACCTCACACCATTACAGAGGAGTTATTGTCAGCAGCCAAAGGCATTGCTCCTTATGATAGGAGCCAAATTTATTAATAAATTTCTAGAGCAATTTCCATACCTGATGACACTATACACAGAAGATTAGTTGACAAGTCTTGGGATATTAAGGAAATGATGTCTGCTTCTTATACAATAATTAGCATCCAGCTTGATGAATCCACAGGCGTTGTAGATTGTTCACAAATACTTAGATATATACAAAATGGCGATTATAAACTTTATTTTTTATGCAAACCTCTTTAAAAGACCTCTTCAGCGTATGATGTTATTGACAAAGTTGGTTAAATTTGAAAAAGTAAAAATCTTCTTGGAAAAATATTTGTGGTGTCTGCACAGATGGTGCTGTAAGTATGCTTGGATGTTGGTTTGGATTTCAAATTTTGGTACAGAAGGAGTCACCATAAGAATTCATCCTAACTCATTGTATGATTCATCCACATATATATTAGCAACGTCTATAGTCTCAGCTACTTGTAACAAGTGGCCCCACATTTATCGCTTTTACAAATCTGTCTTTGACTTTATAAACTAAACTGATATTTAATGAACATGTGATTAAGTGCTTGGCTATAGATACAAAGGTCCTGCATCTATAGGCTTCATTGCTCTTTTGTTCTGGTCCTGACCATGATTTTCAGAAGAGCATCATATTGGTTTTCCAGACATGTGGTCATTATGGTGGTATGTTGAATTAGTCCCCTTGAGGAGGCTTGTGCCCCGAGTTTGAATTTAAGTCGTAAAACTTTTTATGCATTTAAAAAACGCTCACAGTATCATTCACCCT